AACTAATGCCGCATCATAGGGCTTGTGGTAGCATCCTATACCGCATGGTCAAGTCAACAACGTCTGTAGAGTGGTAGAGTACAACAAAACATCGCTTTCAGCAAAGGGATCACAGACCTCGGACTGATGCCACCCTTGGCATTGATGACGCGCTGCCAAGGCACATTGCCACTGTGAAACCTCGGACTGGCCTTGCTGCCGTCGGTCGATGGCGATGGCAAGTTCTTGAGACAGACTCCCACTTGTCTTGGATGTCACGCGTTAGTGCCGCTGGGCCTGGCTACATGATCGATCGCATGGAGTAAGCTGTTACCTGGGGCATTCGGCTAGGTGACAGAACCAACGTCAGCGACTTTGGACATGGTCGTCTTGGAGAGGCGCCTCACGCTTCCCAACCAGCCTGGCAATGTGGCCATAGCTGGTGACTTTGCCGTGCGGGATCTCTTGTATTGCCTCGTAGACTGTAGTATACCACAACCAGACTTCTTCAGACCGTTCTTTGGGCGCCATAGTAACTGTGTTGATGATGTGGGCACCGCACGAAAAAGCGCATGAACGCGGCGAGGGCGGCACTCACACTGGCTGCTGGGTCGCCTCCAAGGGCGGCATGAGACACGCCAAATCACGTGGAGCGCGTATGCCAAGACCCGTCGACGCATCCCGCTTTCGAGATTCCCGTCTACTTTGGTGATTGCGCGGCGCATATCAACACCTTCTCCCAATATGTCTCTAGCCGACTACTTGGCAAAGAATTACCTTACGGCAGACTCGGAGAAGAAGTCAAAGAAGCGCAAGCGGAAGAACAAAGACGCCGGCCTCATCATTGACGACGACGACGACCTGGGCTGGAAAGACAAGGCGGATGAGGACAATGAAGATGCGCCCATGATAGGTACTAACAAGATTTCATTATAGTATGCCTTTTGGGAACCCCACTAACTAGCTTTTGCCAGTGGGTGGAGGACAAGTGAAGAAGTTTAAGAAAAAATCCAAATCCACCAACGCCGCAATCTGGACAGCTGTAGGCGTCGCTGCGCCTTCCCACGCCGAACAACTGGCCGCCGACGCAGCTGTTGCCGATGCAATCATTGCAGGAACCGCTGCAGAACGCGAAAAGGCTGCTCAAGCAGAGGACGAGGCGCCAGAAATGGTAGAGGCTGATGGCGTGCACAGAATGGAGTCTGGCGCAAAAGCTGGTCTTCAAACGGCTGCAGAGATTACAGCGGCCATGGAGAAGAAGCAGAATGAGGAGAAGCGCAAGGCGGAAGAGGTTGCCAGGGAGATGGGAAGTGCGGCGCAACAGACAATCTATCGAGATGCTAGTGGTCGCATCATCAATGTAGCGATGAAGCGTGCCGAGGCCAGGAAAAAGGCTGAAGAGGAGGAGCGCAAGAAAGCCGAAAAAGAAAAGGCTGCTCGCGGCGACGTGCAAATTGCCGAAGCTGCCAAGAGGAAGCAGAAGTTAGAGGACGCAAAGATGATGACCATTGCTCGGTATGCAGATGATGCAGAGCTCAACGATGAACTCAAGGAAAGAGGTCATTGGAACGATCCTGCTTCAGGCTTCCTGCGCAAGAAGAAGGCCGGGCGCAGTATTACTGGCAAACCGCTCTATCAAGGACCCTACCAACCCAATCGATATGGCATTCGTCCAGGGCATCGATGGGATGGAGTAGACAGGGGCAACGGCTTTGAAAGGCAGTGGTTCGACTCGAGGAATCGTAAGGCGAACAATGAAAAGTTGGAGTATCAGTGGCAGCAGGATGAGTAGAGGACAGAACCGTTGACTCTTACCACTCCTACTTGTCATGTTCTTGTTTACACTGATGCATAGCGCGGCGTTGTGACTTGTTGTCACTCATATTGCTCTGATTGCAAACAAGGGCAAATCGATGAATGTTTGAACATGGCCACAATAGATTCGCAAGAGCTTGACTTGTAATCATCTAAAAGTGAACAGTTTTACTCGATCTTCAAACTCCCTGCAATGTGAATATCAACAGCAAAACACAGATGAATGCCATCAGATGTTAGAGACTCAACAAGGCCGGTCGATCACAAGCCTTGACAAATGCATCACTTCAAACCAGGAGTTCTAGTAATCACTACAAACTCACCTCACGAAACCGACCAAGACGTCCTGATGTCCTGAAAGGTGCATCTAATGATCAACGATCATTGAGCTCGGAAACTATCATCCTTTATGGGAACCGCAAAGAGCCCTCCTCGATCAACATGGCATCGTATGTATGCGTGTACTCAAACAGTCTACCTTTCTTGTATGCATCTTATGACCAATCGCAAGTCACATCACCCAGCAATGAAACTTTTGGGCAACATCTAGATCATGTCCTCTCTCTATGTAACCCTAGTATACCATCCATCACCCGCGTAAGAACACGTCTTCCATCCTTGAGTGCACGCCCATGGGCATATATCACTCAATGAGAAAAGACGTCCCTTCGTGTACTGACGGAACCTGTTAGAAGATAAGGTGATGGTAATCGCTGCAGAACCGCGAGGCTCTTCGAAACGATCCCCGGCCATGTCCCCTGGAGAAGCCGCGATTCGCATTGTGTTATATGGACGGAATCTTGCCCACACCGGGTCATTGGTAAGTATACAAGACCCGAACAAAAAGAGATTAGCTACGAGCCCTAGATGGAGGGCTGTAGCGCCAGCCGAGTCAGAAGAAATGCAGCAGCAGAGGAAAACGCGTGAAACCGGATGTCATGAGAAGATTTAGTATACAGTAAAATGGAAAGCTATTCCTTGGGTATCGTTACAATGAGAAATCTATATCTTGTGGTGGTTAGTCCGGACGGGGGATAACATCGATTTTAGAAGGCGTTCCTGTGGCCGCGCTGAGGTCTCGTAGAAAACGACAACATGGTTTCGAAAACTCTTCGTGAATCGACGCGGTATCCGTCCGGACAATACATATAGATCGAGCCATGATCAGCGGACAATCGTATGGGAAGTGGATGCTCAACGCTGATAGCTTGAAAGCTGCTTCCGGGTATAGAGCAGATTGGCCAAGAGAAAAGCCGAGATCAAATCCTCCTTGACCTGTTTGAGTGGGTTAAGTGTAGTGTACTGTGACAACTACTCGTCTGCATTAATCAGATCACACAACGCCAGTTCAGTCCTCTTCCCCTTCTGATGGCAGATCGGGCAGATCGGACATGGTAGTATCAAGCGCATACTTCATCGCCAGTGCCATCACGCCATCATCGTCCTGTTTCTCCAGCAGCTGGGCCAGTAGATTTGGCGAGCTATATCGATATAAGTCATAATCCAGAAGGTAAGAATGCAAAGTGCAACAAGTGCCCATGCAAAGGACTGACTAGTCGAGTGCGTTGATCCTCAAACCCTTGGTTGTGCATGTCCTATTTCCAGACCGGCACAGTAACTTACCGAAGTGATTTCATGAGTCTGCGCTGTGCGATGTAGGACTGGTAATTGCCACCCAGGACAGATCCGAGAATGCTTTCGCCAATGTCCTGTCCGGACTTTGATGCCGCCATGCGGTCCTCGAGAACTTGGTGTGCCATCGCAAAGGCTTTGAAAACTTCTTGAGCTTTGTGAGATCCGCCGGAGATGTTGTTGTCTGGACGATTCGGGTCTTGAATGGACAATCCGAAAGGCTTCTCTTCTCGGTTGTCCACCCCATAACGTGTCTGCTAGAAGGTTAATACCAGTTGAGCTGTGTAGCAACGACTTCGCAAACGACGCTGCTGTTTGGCTTCAGAAGGTTACATACCTTGTCAACGACACCCATAGGATTCATTTGAATACGATGCTTGGTGAGATCAAACTTGTTGCCGTAGTAATCGAGGAAACCCTTAAACAATTCGGCAAGGTTCTCAGCCTTACCAGCTTGGTGAATGTAGTGCACTATTAAACATATGATGGCGAAGCCGCCGATCCCACCAGTGTGAACCTCGTTGAGTCCGCGCATGACAAGAAATTGTTTCAGCAGGGCTACCATATAGATCATGTCGGGATACTTGTCTTTCCATTGGGCAAAGGTGGCTTGAGCTTGCATCCCACTCAGGTTCTCGAAAGAAATGTCGACCTGAAGCCTAGTAACACTGTCGGTAAATTTGACTAGTGGAACCTTGGCACCGTAAATGCAACTGATGGCGCCAAAGGCCATGTTCCTGCGTTGTAGAACATTTCTTACACCTTTGAGCAAGGGCGCAGTAGCATTCCTCGCGGTCACATCCATGACAGGGGGACCTCCATTGAAGTGTCGATCAGAAGTATACACGAGATCCATATCCGCTGTTGGAAGGTAAAGACCCGCGGGAAAGGATCCAAAGCAGAGTATGCGACCGTTGTCCTGAGGAAATCTGTGGTAGCCTAGTACGCTCTGCACGCGTTGGACGAGCAAATTGCGCTGTTCGTGCTCGTAGGGCTTCGGAGCTACAAAGTCATAGAAGTCAAGGATCTCGTTGTGTAGCCACTTTTCTGGATCGTTGGCAAGGTGACGATACGGGTGAGGTGCAAGCAGCCAGGGTGTCATGTCCATACCTGGGCGCCCCACCCACTCTTCCAAAATTCCAGGTCCAGAGCTTTCATGCTTACGCTTTTTCTTGCTAAGACCAGAATGAGGGAAAGCATTGGCGGAAAAGGGGTCGTTCTTGTCGCTAGGCCGATCTGGCAAAGGATGTTGTTCGGGCGGTGGCACAGGAGTCTCTGCAGCGTCGTCATCGTCGCCAAAGGAGATGAAGTCATCATTAGCAGCAACCGCGTTATGCGCAGCTTCCTTCTCGGCCGCCAAATTCTTGGCCTTGCGAATCAACTTGACGAAGTCAGTCTTCTTACCAGTGGCCTCATCGGGCGGTGGCAGGACCGTATATGGATCAGGATTAGACCACTTGGGAGCAGAGGCGCCATCAGCACGATTACTTGTCTGCGTACGAGCTATTTTGCGGTTGCTGCCATCAGAGCTGTCGACTTCACCATCAACTTGGCCGCCAACTTGACCGTCTTCCGAGGCAGAGTCACGACTCTCTACATCCATGTCCGCTTCTTCGTCATCAGACAGGTCATCAAGATTCAAGAACCTATTGGGACCATCGGAGACGCCCATGGCCCGCTCTGGACTGGTATCAGCGCGGGGCCGCAGCAGGGCACGCTCATGTGGCGCAGCCTTGCGAAAGCCACCTCGGCCTCCACGACGGAATCCGTTTGCATTGTTCCTGCCTCTGTGATCGAGGCGGTCAGTGCGCCTGCTTTCTCTGTCCTCACGTTGGGCAGCCCCGCCCCGCGCGCGCTTCCTAGGCGGCTCACGAGAGGGCCCGTTTGCCGGGCCCGTGGGTGGAAATCGAGGCGCTGGATGGGTTGAATGATAGCTGGATTCGAAGTTGAACTGATGCTGGTTGCCTGCATGGCCCTGCGCCGTATGGGAGCCGCCTGGTCGATAGTGATCAGGCCCGGCTGTGAAGGTCATGCGGTCTGTGAGCGAGGGCGGGCGGTCGCGACCGCGGTCGCCAGGGCGGTAGGAGTCGGTCATGCCTTGAAGATGTTTATATAGCGTTCGGTATCTTGTTTTGGGCGCGGTTTGAATATGTTGGCCGAAGTGGGGGAGGTTGTGTGAATGGCGGCAGGCGGTGTTGTTGAGGAAGCAAAGCGCGAAATTGTGTCGCCTTTGCACTGCGCCAAGGAGCTAGTTGAACAGCGCCAACTTGTAGGGAAGGCGCGCCCGACCCTTCACATGTTCTTCGTGGTAACTTGTCCAACATCTTGAGCATCTCATGGTAGACATTGTTAGCAACGCAATTCCATACATGATAGATTCTTGCTGGCCACATTGGCCGCACGGCTAATATATTCTTGTCGGGAAAGAGGAGAATAGTCATGTCATAGAAACGGCCAGTGGCCTGCGTGTTTCCTCTAGACGAGAGCGACGTTTCTCATGGCACTTGCATGTGGTACAAAGATGAGGGCAGAGGGTGTTCCAAGTTTATCCTAGTTCATTTTGATACATTTTTCGGACAAGTCTACAAAAATTGGTATACATGGACAAGAGGAGAGAGGCTTGAAAGCAGGTGCTCGGGCCCGAGAAATGACCCACACTTGACTCCGGGGTGAAACAATCAACGCTATGCCAACGCCATTCGTATGCAGAAGAGAAGAAGACTCTGGTTGTTGTGTTGTACAGATGGACAATAGTAAAGCGTCGAGGCGGTTGTCGCCGTCTGGCCGGATCGATGCCGTCTCGCCACCCAAGTCATGCTCCCAAACTCGCGAGAAGGGAAGAGCACTTGTATCAGTCTTCCTTGGTAAGCTTCGGTTTGAACCCTTTACTCAACTCGGCCTCTCTCTCTGCCGCCCTCTGATGTGCCTGTAGCTCCCTCTCAATCCTCTCTCTCGCCCTCAAAATCTTGCTCTGCAGATAAAAGCTCCCGCCCTTCTTCGGGTCGTTTAGGTCGAAAAGCCTCTTGAAACGCTCGGTCACCACTTCCATCTCTATATTGCCCATTTTGCCAGGCCCTACGTTGAGAATCGAGCAGGCTTCGTCCATGGTGATGTTGGAAGAGGAGAAGGCGCTCCCGCTGCCCCCACTACCCTGGCTGGCGGCGGCATATTTTTGGGCGGCGGCTGCTTGACGATAGGATTCGGATACCGCACGACCTATTATTCGGGCGCCGGAGAAGACGACTTGTGTGATGATGCGGTGGGCCTGGAGAGGTTAGAGTCCTGGTGATGGAGGATAATGGACGGACTTCGCCATGCGCACCATGATGAGATCTGATTCCGAGGATAATTCCGACAATGATGCTACAAGAATTGCAACTGTAAAACCTTTATGTTTCTATACGACTACTGCTGTAGCTATGGCCTATCGTCGCTGTTGGCGTTGACACCTGAAGTCTCCCAAAAATTCTGGATCGTCTTGCATCCGCGGACTTCGCTCCCAAGGATGCACGTGATGCAGGTCGACTCAGCCAATCACATGCCGATCGCATTTCCATCATGTTCCCCCACGCCAACCATTGCTTCCAGAAAGTGGGTGGTGCGTAATTGATGGCAGAGAGCGGGAAAAGACGATTGCATATTCGCGCAAGTATGCATCTTCATTATTGAAAGCCATTCTGCATGATTCATTGTCGAATGCAGCCTTAACAGAACGGCTCTGTAGAGTTCCAGGCAGTACCTAGGGAGGTCTCGGGCCAGGGACCTTCACATGCACAAAGATGGCCGCGCATGTCTTCTTCGCCGCCGCCGCCTGTGACCGCATCATATGCTATCATTGTCCAGTACCTGGACGTGAAAAGCGACTTTCTTCTCTTTGCGCCGAAAGCCACGTGTGCAATCAGTGTTACAGTTAACAGTGAAACAGTGCCAGCACTCTACATCCAGTCCAGCAGCAACCTCAACCATCTAACTGCCTCTCTCTCTCAGCCTCGTCTGCGCAGCCGGGCGATGACGCACACTTTGAATGCATGGCAGCACTAGGTTCGTTCACTCCCAACCGGCACCCACGCAGCACCACCAGGCACGCATATACATGCATAGACGACTCGAGTCGACCATGCTCATACGCTTCCAGATACACCTTGGATAGTGCACATGTCCACCTCGTCGAGAGCCTCACACGATGCGTCGTCCTCGCAGCCCACGCCTGACCCGAACCCGCCCACTTATGCCACCTTCTCACCCTCGACCCTAGGCGGCGCCGCCCCCCATACGAAGCTGCGCTCTGCCATTCTCGTACATCAAAAGTCGCCGCTGCTTGCTGCGACGCCGCCGCAGATCACAAGGGTGTTGGCATACTCGCATCCGTTCATTATACCGCTGAATAAGTTGGCTGGGCTCCTGACATGGACAACGGGAGATCCATGGGAAAGTTTCCTGGTAGTGGCGAGCTTCTGGGCCATAGTTCTGTATGGAGATGCAGCCACGAGATATGCGGGGCCGCTCATTGTGGTGTTGGGCCTCATATTGGGCATGTACACAAGGAGATATTCGCCGCTGTCATCAACTGGGTGGACGGGAGAGAAGGGACAAAGGGGACACAAAAGGGAAGAGTCGGACACCAACATCAAGCACCACAAAAGCTTGGAAGAGATTGTGGATAGTCTCAAGCTCTTCACCTCGCGCTGCAATATCCTCCTCGATCCCTTTCTTCGCTTGACCGACTTCCTTTCGACGCAACGGACTGCCACATCCGCTACCACGCGGCCGGCGCTCACCATACTCTTCATTCGAATTCTGCTTGCCATGCCATTATGGATCCTCCTCACCCTTCCGCCCTTTTACATACTCTCCACCAAACGCATTGTATTAGCAGTTGGTACGGTGATGATGAGCTGGCACTCCAGACCCGCTCGCGTCACCCGTACAATACTTTGGAGATCTCGAACCGTGCGACGAACATGTGCATTCATCACCGGTCTGAACTTTGGTGAGATGGTGGCAGCAGACAAGAAGGGCGCGCCTCCCCTGCCACCTCGCAAGAAGAGCACGCAAGAAGTGGCGGCTTCACTAGCGGCGAAGCGAAGACCAGAATCCACTGGTGTACGCTTTACCTTTTCAATATATGAGAATCAAAGGCGTTGGTTGGGTATTGGATGGACATCATCTATGCTTGCGTATGAACGAGCATCATGGACGGATGAGCATTTGAATCCCCAACCACCGAGAGATCAATTTGAACTGCCTGAGGTTGAGGGTGGTCAATCAAGATGGCGATGGGTACAGGGCAGTGAATGGAAGGTTGAATGTGGAGACAAGGACAGCCAGGCGGAGAAGGTCACTTCCAAGGAGGACATGGGGTGGATATACTACGACAACAAGGTATGCAACACTCTTGCCAATGAAACCTGCGCAGACACTAACAACTAAAGTGGCGAGATGGCCGCCGCGGCCAGGATGGCTGGGGTCGATACACCCGCCGACGCAAGTGGTACCGCGACGCTGAACTGGTTGAAGCAACACCCTCCACTGAAGTGACACCTGTCCACACTCCCCGCCATGCCCCCTCTGAATCACCCGCAGACCTCGACCCCAACCACCTAGCCCGGCTCTCGTCCAATGTCAGCACAACATCGAGTAACGAGCCCACGCTGGTGGACGGCCAGGATGCGGAGTCGGTGGCTAGTGACACGGATGCGCTGAGTACAAAGAGTAAGAAGAGTTGGTTCAAAAGGAAACGCACAAAAAGTAACGCGGGCAGTGCGAGTAATGTGACGGTGACGAGTACGGGGAGTAGTGTTGGAAGGAGGAGTGAGGAGGAGGATGTGCAGAGTCCGGTCGAGAGGATGGTTAGGGACGAGGAGTGGAGGTTGGGGGATGATATTAGGCAGCATCTTGATATATGATGGTTCTTCCATTCGCTTTTCAATGTAACTCTTCACTTTTGTCGTGGTTTTGTGATGGGCTTGATTTGCGCCGTGCTGTGCTGTGCTTGGTTTGTTGCGCGCGCCAAGTTTGTTACATCATCTGGAGCCATGGTCAGTGACCTGTGTACGTGTGAACAGTACCATGCTTGTCCAGATGTTGATCGTCGTTGCTCACTCAAGCACAAGATAATGCAATCCTCATCTCACAACAATGATTTCAATATTCAAGGGAATGATTGTCTTATTCATAAGTCTCCAAGGATAGAACCTATCAAACACACAAATAGTCAATCCACTCCCCATATTTCTCGCTCTAATACTACCACCGCTTCAACTTCTGGCAAACCCCAAGAAACTTTGAATTTTGAGATTCCCATCATCACAAACAGCCGATGAGAACAATGGTCTTCTTGTGCCTAGGGTCAGATTGCCCGTCGAATCAAACTTGACGTGTGTCGGTGGTGATGGTGATGATTTAGTGCTATTTCCTCCTGCATTAGCATCTGCCAGCCCAGTGAGAGATGGATAGGGATCAAGGGCAGCTTACAGAGCAGTCTCCGCAGTTGCAGCTGGTGCAGTCACCGGCACACTTGCAAGAGGCGCAGTTGCTGTTGATGATTCGTTAGTCTGCTGTCCACCAGTGCTTGTTCATGGACACAGGCAATGAGGTGCGTGTGTCTGTGTGTGGATGTGTGTGTCCATCATGGTGCTGAGGCTAGGCCAGAACGAGGTCGGGCTTCACTGCGCTTTTGCACCATGGTGTTTGGAATGGGGACATGTGGTTGGATGGGTCGACGTACCAGGGAGACATGGTGATGTTTGATTGGGTTGGGTTGGTTTGGGTTGGTGATAAGATTGCTTGGTCAGTGGATGGTTGAGTTGGCTGATGAGGGGGTGAGTCCATCAAGGTGCTGAGGGCCGGGGCTTATATAGAGGGCTTGTGGACCTCGCCAGGCCTTTTGCTTCGTCCTGTTTGCCGTCACCCTTTGATTTGGATACCGGACTATGCGCGACTTGCGCGATTGGACCGTCCGGCCGTGGAGGGGGTCGAGTGTGGTGACATATCGGGTGGGCTGCTAACTGGACTGGCGCCATGGGGGAGAGGCATGATTGTCAACACCACTCCGTCACCAAGCTCGGCCTACGGACGCCCTTTTCGCCTCAGATTCGATTTGATTGGGAGAGGAGATGTGGGATGGAGTGATTTGGTTGGGTGTGGACATGTACCCGACCGCCGGTTGCGAGGTGGATACAGTGGTGCTGGCGTATCACTATCCTCTCCACTCGCACAAAAGCCGCATGCTGTGTTGAGACACAGATACAGCATGTGAGAATATTACGTTAGTTGACGGTTGACACGGGCTGGCCTATCATATCAGCAGAGAGGTTCGGTCCGGGAAGGTGGCAAAGAAAGCAAATCCCGCAGTGTTTGGGCGCGTGAGTTGATGGTAGGAGCTGGCTATAGGCCAGCTGATGGGAGGATTTGTTCCTGATGCGAACAGCCATCCCGATGGAGCAAGTGACTCCGCAAAGAGCAATCACAAGCTGGTCAAGCGTATGCCAAATGTAGTTCCAGATGCATCTCTAGAGTCTTTGGAGGATTTTACAAGACGGGCATCATGACAGCTTTGCAACAATCCCCACAGGACTTCGAGCCTTTCTAGAACCTAGACCACCACCACTGAACAGTGTACCGGTAGGTATGACATAACCAGACGGACTCCTCACAGAACCCGCTTGTTTGGACGACTGGTGATCTATGCAGACGGATTGGGCACCGAGGACGTGGGATAGGGTGGGTGAGCCGCCCTTGCTCCATCACCCCCAAAAGAGTGTTACGTTTCGGCCTCCCACTGGCCAAGTGACTGGGCGAATGTCGTACCGCATGCGTGCATGTACGTAGAGTAGAGTAGGAGTACGTAGAGTAGAGTACTCTGGACTAGGTACAGTACCTATGTATGAAACCCCACCCCCCGCTTGTAATGTCCTCGCTGTCTTCCCGTGGTGGGTTGTATGATCCACAGTTGGGGGTGTGGGAGTGGGAGTGGGGGACGGTCCATGTCTCGGGGGCTATTACTCTAGAATCCAATACCTAACGAGTGCGGAGATGATCAGAATGTACCTAGACTTTAGCCTTGCCACGCACAATTCCTTTCGAGCACACATGACACTGGCCAACAAGCAAAAAGAAAAACTCGTCTGGGTGGGATGGCTGACTACTCTACATAACCAGCAGCAGCAGCAGCAGCAGCAGCAGCAGTCCAGATAATGACGACATAACTTGCGACCGTGAGTAAGAGCAAAAGCTCTTTGTCTCTGATGATCTTGGGCACGTGTGGTCATGTGGTCCTTCTTCTACCCTCACTAGCCCATCCACGTCTTCCAACTCTACTCTAGCTTTGGCAGGTTTGGCCCGAAAGCCAATCGCGACAGTCCGTCGGGGCTACTCCATGCACCTAGTGCTTCATCACGTCGCTGCTCAGTTTTTCTTACCTGTCGAGGACGGTTACCGCGGTACATGGGGAAGTAGAGTATAGTATAGTACAGTACACATTGCCCACTTTGAGTTGCCCTGGCCTGGACCCTGGTCCGTAGAAGCCATGGCTGGTGGACATAGTGGGATGGTCATTCAAAGGCCATTCACATTGGTCATTATCTTGTCCAAGCCTCCAAGTTGGGGTTTAGAAGCAGGCCAATGGTACAATACAAAGGTACGGCACGTTCAGATCGGTGGCTATCTTCTGCATCTTGGCTGACTTGCATATGCACGGCTCAGAAGCTGCTCGATCAATCAGCGATAGAGTGTCACATGTCAATAGTGGCACGAACAACTTTAGGAACTCTCAACTCTAGACCCATAAGCAGCCACAGGTAAAAGGCTGAACCTAAATCTTCACCATGTGATGTCTGTTGCTGCCAGTGGTTCTTGGCCTCCTCCTTGACTTCTCTATCCCCAACGCAGACCTCCTCGCTACAACAATGATGGCCTTTGCCCCCAGACCAAGCTTCTTCCATCATGTATTTGTGGCATGGTGTATCCTCGTCAAGCCGAAGAGTATGACGACGGCTTTCTCGTTTCAAATCGCTCGGTCAAAGTGGCATCACCCAGACCTTGGTTTCCCAAGTCCAAACGAGCTCGTCCTTCAGCCGCTACAAGGTCAAGCACATTCATACTACTCCTGGAACATATGCTCCAGTGCCACAGCTAACAGGGCTCTTTGCGGTTGCCCTTCGAGCTCGGTCTGATACTCGACTTTCGCTTCTCCGAGCTTGATACCGAGCCCAGAGGCGAAGAGCTAGCTGAGCTGCTGCCCCGCAACAGTACTTTCATCGTGAGCATTCTGTGCCCACGAGGTGATGAAAGGTGAACTTCCTGCCTGAGCAGTGCTTATTTGATCTTGAATCGATTTGGCCGCTTCGAGCACAAGGGCATCATCACCAAATTGACCGATGATTTGGATGCCAGCGCTGCGGACTATGGATTCTGCTTCGCTTTCCTCACCCTTTACTGCTTCTGATTCGACAGGTATGGGCACACTGATCGCAGGCAGTCCTGCGAGACTGGCTGGTACGGTGAAAACGTCGTTCATGTAGGCTTGAATGGGGTCTTGGTCCTTGACTTCAGAAATCGAAGGCGCAAGCGAAGGAGCCGTAGGGCAGACCAGAGCATCTACCTTTATTGCTCCACCCTCCGAGGGTGCAACTTGTTCGAGAAGTGGGTTTGTCGTTGCAAAGACCTTATCAAAGTCTTGTTGCACTAACCTCCGGACCTTTTGTGCTTGGATAAAGTAGTTGTCAATGGCTTGCGCACTGAGTGAGAAGGCACCCAGTAGGATGCGACGCTGGACTTCAGGTCCAAAACCTTGACCCCGTGTTTTGGCAAACAGCACACTTTGAGGCGTACCGTCGACGCCTTGTGTTCTACTACCAAAACGAACGCCATCGTACTTTGCCAGGTTGCTGGAGGCCTCTGCTGGGGCTAAGACATAGTAGGCTGACAGCGCATGTTGCGTCGATGGGAGTCGGACAGGATGCAGGCTATGGCCAGCTTTCCGTAGAACTTTCATGGTTCGAATCCAAGCTTGACGAACCGTAGGATGCAAGGTAGCAATGTTGTAGTCTAGAGGAATACCGATCCTGAGGCTCGGGGAGCGGTTGTAATTACCGAGTCGGGAGCGAGTCGAAGGTAGATGAGAGGTAGGATCTCGAGGATCATAAACGTCCAGTGCATCTAGAGAGATGGTGGTTTAGTCTGAGCAACCTGGTTCGTTGAAGCAGATGTACATACTATAGACAGCTGCTACGTGCTTCGCAGTCCTACCAAAGACACCGACCGTATCAAGTGAGTTCGCATATGCAATTACTCCCCATCGCGACAGCCGGCCATAGCTGGGCTTGAAGCCCACGACGCCCGTATACGCAGCGGGAAGTCTAACCGAGCCCCCTGTGTCCGTACCAAGTGCCCTGTTGGTCTCAGCCTCAGATGCAGGGTCCGATGCCACTACGACGGCAGACTTACGCCCAACACTGTCCACTCGCGACGGCAAGCGCACTCCCGCCAGAGCTGCCGCCAGCACTTACTTCTTCGCCTTGGTATCTCTGCATCTTGACGGGGCCAAAGTGCGAGTTCATCGAGTGTGAGCCCATGCCAAACTCGTCCATGTTGGTCTTCCCCATGACCACGGCACCTGCCTCTTGGAGCAGCGTCACGACTGTCGCATCGTATGGAGTGGTGAAGTTGTTGAGAAGTGCCGAGGAAGCAGTAGTCTTCATGTCTTTGGTGCAAATGTTGTCCTTGATCGCGATCGGCTTGTTTAAGATATCGTCGTGACATGGTGACTGTCGAGGATTCTGTCTATGCATGGCCTCATTGTTGAGGGAATTGAAGACATTGAGGTTCGCATATTTGGCCTGGTTGGTCAGGTAGGGCTTCCACCGCGCGAGGAGGGACATGGGGAGCAAAAGGGCATTTCCGGGGACGCGTACCGATGTGTGAAGCGTGCGAAGCGGGTGAAGCAGTATGTGTGCAGAAGTCAGAAAATCACCGCGCGATGTCATGTGACAGCGGAGGCGTGCAAGTGCATTACTCGACAGGAGGTAGCACCAGTCGGCTTGCAGCAAACCACATGGAGTCTAGTATCTGCCGTGAGCTATACAGTGCACATTGTGGTAGAATAGTACTCTAGAGTAGATGGAGGATATGTGAAAGTGTTGGTGTTGGTGATTGTGATATGGTGGCAGGGTACGAGGCTTCCAAGGTGCAGGGTGCGGGCGCTGGTGGGTGGTGGTGAATGGTCCAGACGGGGCGACGATGACGTTGGTGTTCCCGCCAGCCAGGCTGCCTGCCCAAAACCACAAATGCAACCTCTCTCTGGGCATGTTGGACAAGCACAAAGAGGGGCGCAGAGCCAGTCCTGCCAGTCCTGCCATTCCCTACTTCACCGCCTTGGCCTGCCGAATCTACTACCTCAAGATCGCCCTGCTCTCCTCGACGAGCTCGACGTCGACGTCTGCCATGGCCAAATCTCAGGCCCTGCAGTCCAATCTGGATGTTGACTATGTCATCCGCTACCGCTTCGCAAAGACAGGTGTGTGGTTACCTCCCCCCCCCCCCCCCCCCTGGGGCCCTCCCCCGGCCCCCCCAAATAAAAAATAAACCAAAAAAAAAAAAACCCTTTTTAAATTTCAAAAAATTTTTTCAGGCCCGGTCCACGTTTGGCCGGCAAACCAAGGTCCCCAAGGAAAACCCCCCCCCGGGGTTTTCTTTTTTAAGGGTCCTTTTTAACAACCCCCCCTTTGGGAAGGGGAACCCCCCAAGGAAAAGGAAAACCCACCCCCCCCCCTGTCCCAAAAAAATTCTTTAAGGGTAAAAAAAATAACTGAATGGGACCCTGGGGGTTTCCCAACCCCCCCCACCCCAATTACCCCCCAATTCCTCCAAACCGAAACCCCATAACAAGGAAAAAACCCGGGCCTCATCTAACAAATTCTTACGAAACCCGTTTTCCAAGGGGGGGGTGGGCTCCCCCCCAAAGAACGGGAAAGGGAAAAAGTTCAATTTATCCTTTCCCCGGCTGAATCTGGCCACAAAAAAGAATGGAATCAGAAAATGTCCTTCCCAAAATTCCCAAAAACTTAAAAACTGGATAAATTTTCAACCCTCTGGGAAAAAAAATGAAAAAACCCCCGGAACCCCCCAAAAAAACCCAACCCCAAAGCTGACCATCTAGATTGCCTTCTACTTTGCCTTCACACAGTCCTATTTCACCTTCCTCGTCTTCCCAGCCGCATTCGGATTCGCATCATGGCTCTTCCTCGCACCTTTCTCACCCATCTACGGTCTCGTGAGTGCGATATGGTGCACCGTCTTCACCGAGTACTGGAAACGCCAGGAGATTGACCTCGGTGTCCGCTGGGGTGTCAAGGGCGTGTCTAACATCGACGTCAGGAAGCGCGACTTCCAGCCTGAGAAGACCATTACCGACCCTATCACTGGCGAACAAGTCGGCTTCTTCCCTGCTTCCAAACGCTTCCAACGCCAGCTCCTACAAATCCCATTCGCGCTCATAGCTGCGACATCGCTTGGGGCTGTCATTGCTACCTGCTTTGCGATCGAAGTTTTCATATCTGAAGTCTACAATGGGCCGTTCAAAAGCTTCTTGGTATGTGGAACAGGTCACATATGAACGAAAACTACTGATTGGGGTCCAGATCTTCATTCCTACGGGTATTCTGACGACAGTGAACCCTATCCTCAACACTATCCTTACTACGGTTGCTACACGGCTGACAGAATTCGAAAACTACGAGACTTCCAACGCCTACGACAAGGCACTTACCCAGAAGATCTTTGTCATGAATTTTATCATGTCTTACCTCGGTATTTTCCTTACAGCATTCGTCTACGTGCCCTTTGGTACTGTCATTGTACCTTATCTCGACGTCTTCAACGTAGCCGTCCGTCCCTTTGCTGAAGATGAGAAGCAACTCCATCTCAACAGCCCAAGCACCAGTTGGAGCATCAACCCCGATCGTCTCCGTAAACAAGTCATCTACTTCACCGTAACCGCTCAAGTGGTAAACCTCGGCATGGAGCTCGTCGTCCCATACCTAAAGCGCCGCGGTTTCGCAAAGTACAAGCAATTTCAATCCGATCGCGCTACAAAGAACGGTGTTGCTGCACCATCACCCGCTACCAGCGATCCGCCTGAGGACATTGCATTTCTTGAGCGGGTCCGGAAAGAAGCCGAACTTGACGTCTATGACGTTACTGCCGACCTTCGGGAAATGGTTGTACAATTTGGTTACCTCTCTCTTTTTTCTGTCGTTTGGCCCCTGACCTCTGTCTCTTTCCTTGTCAACAATTGGATCGAGCTTCGCGCAGATGCCATGAAGATCTGCGTGGAGATGCAACGCCCTATACCTTGGCGCGCTGATACCATCGGTCCTTGGCTCGATTCGCTGTCTTTCCTTACCTGGCTCGGTAGTCTGACAACCTCTGCGCTCGTCTACATGTTCTGGAACGACCATACAGGGCCGGACGGTAATCCTTCAAACATCCAACTCTGGGCTCTTCTCCTCACCGTATTCTTCTCTGAGCACCTGTTCATCCTCTTCCGCTGGGGTGTCAGCATTATCATCTCTAAACTTGATTCCCCGGGTCTACAAAAGGAGCGCAGGGAACGCTACCTCGTGCGTAAGAAGTACTTCGAGGAAAATCTTGCATCGTTGGAGAAGATGCCTCAGCTCAGCGAGTCCGGAGGAGAGATTACTAGAAACAGTCTGGAGGAGGATGCCAGACAGGGCAGTCTGAGGGAGAGTACACCCGAGATGAGGTTCTGGGGGCGCCAGAAGGGGTGGAAGGAGAGCGCGGCTGTTGCGCGCGAGTTGATTGAAAGGGCACAGAACGAGACGATTATAGAAGAAAAGAAGGAGCTGTAGAACGAGGAGAAATGAGCTAGATGAACTGTGTGACGGCGAACAATGGCTAGTTGGGCGATGTGGTCCTGGTGGAAATGACTTCTTTCTCCGCGTACAGAGTTGACAGTATTAGTATTATTAGCATGGTGGTTTCTGAGGTTGGAAATAATCATAAAAACAACAGAGAAGAAGTAAAAATACAGGCACATAACCTTGATTGGGTGACTAGAACTCGCACCCTTGCTTGAAACGGAAAATATTCACTATGACAAGATATCTCCACCAAATCCAATAGGCCTCCTCACACGACCTGTCGATCTGTACGGCACAATAGCCATAGCCTTGTACGTCTTGCCCATACCCACATGCCGATCAACTAACCTCTGCCAACCCGTCGCTAACCTCTGCCTAGCCTCCTCGTCCTTGGCTTCCTTCATCAAGCGCTCCGCTCGTTCTTTAATCCCCATCGTCCCCAAAAAGAAGCCCTGCTCCACGGGCCCGTGGACCTCGACACCAGGAGAAGCCCGAAGTGCAGAATCGGCCAGAGCTACGAAATCTACATCTGCGGAGAGGTCGACCAGGCCGGGGGCCGCAAAAGGAGATACAGTGGTGTGATTGCGGATTCCACGCAGGCTATTGGCCGGGATCGTCTCGAGAGACCCATAGTCTAGAATTAGGGCTGCGCCTGAGGGTGTCGGTTTTTGATAAGGGGTATCTAGTTTGGTTTTCACAGTCGAGGGGTGTAAAGTGGGGGAGGAAGAGGATGCTGCTGGGGTGGCGGGAGGCTTGGGGTTACCACCGCCTATCCGCTCTGCGAAGTCTTCAATGTAAGACATTGACTCTGGAGATATTTCTATTATGGCATCGGGGGTGTTTTCCAAGGCTCTGTAACGCTTTGACGTTTTGGGGAGGTAGAGCGAATGCGGTGTTGGTGATTTGGAGACGGTGAGTTCGAATTCGAGTTTCTCTTGTCCTGTGGTAGCAGAGTTCATGTCGGGTGAGGTCGGGGAGACGACGAGTTCGTGCCATATGTTTTGTGAACTTGTGGAGCCGTTTTTGGGCCTGATGGGGCCGGTGGGGGTTATGATTGTTGATGAGGCTGGGATAGAGGATTGGGCTACATTCTGGAAGACGTGGATGGGGAGGGCGTCGAAGAATTCGTGAGCGATGATGAAGGGCGTAGGTGTCACTTCTACGTTCGTGTTAGGACAAGATTGAGAGTATCATGTTCGAACGTACCCTTGGGAAGCAACCGTATGTCCTCACACCATTCGATCTTGCATCCTGGGATGTACTTGCACATCGCAGTCAAGCCAATATCACTCTTCTGCAAGTCCTCCGTCCCAGAAAGGAGCTTCCCTTGCTGTTTCTGTAGGTAGGGTGAAGCTTCGATAAGGTAAACAGTCTCAATGCTCTGTGCAAAGCCTCTGAGACTTGTAACCGTCCTCAACACATCGTCCATCAGTGTTCCGCGACCTGGCCCAACCTCAATGATCTGGACCTTGTCTTTTCTTCCTTGCGCGTGCCATTCTGCATAGAGCCATACCCCCACTAATTCTCCAAATATCTGACTAATCTCTGGTGATGTTACAAAGTCGCCCTTGGCACCGAATTGGTCTTGTCCACTCGTCGTCTGCCGTGTGTAGTAGCCGCCTTCAGGGTGAGTGAGACATTGCCGCATGTACGCCGCTACAGGTATTGGGCCTGTTGTCTAAGAAGAATTTGGTATAAAGCTCATGAGCACGATTTTCTATAGGAGCACATACTGTTATAGCCTCGGCCAACGTCTTCGCCAGCGGTGTAGACCATTGCCTCTCATTCGCCACGAGACTCGATGTTGAAGAGCACCGAGAAGCGCGCTGCGCAACTGGCCGTAAAACGGACTGTGGTAGCAACTTGCTATATTGCCGCGCCGTTTGGAGTAAATTCAGAGCACTGGCTCTCATGTCGAATCGTGTTATCGAGGTTCCATGACGTCGATGTCTTGCACACTCGGAATCACAAAAGTTCAAAGTCGGAACGCCGAGGTGAAGGAGCTTTGACCATCACTCACCTCGACCACCACGCGCTGTTGAAGTTACTGCTCGTAATCAGGACCACAACACTACCCGGCTTCCAGTAAACTGGATTAACTATTCACCAAGAGTATACGGAAATTGAAAACTAGTTGTGGAATACAGGGAGAAGGGAGGATGAACCATGGCATCACGATGGGCAAATGACGAAGCAGATAAGGCAGAGGAACAGCGCCGCAAAAAGGAGAAGGAAGACAAGAAACGTCTCAAACTTCAAAAACAGCAGCAAGCAGAAGAAGTAGCCCGAAAATCACAAGCGCCACAGGAAGCAGAGTCACGGGCTGCAAAGAGGCGGCGTCTGTCCAACGACAATGAAGATACAGAAACACTGGTTACCAAAGAATCGGTACTAGAAGCGCCCAGAGAACTCCTTAGATTCGATGTTGGAGGCTGGTCCCCTTGCCGTCACACCTCAAACTTCGAAACTCTCAATCATATTGAAGAGGGCTCCTACGGCTGGGTGTCGCGCGCACGCTCCATTATCAGCAACGAGGTCGTTGCGCTTAAAAAAGTCAAAATGGACTACAATCAAGACGGTTTCCCTATCACCGCCCTACGGGAAATCTCCATCCTTCACAAAGCACGCCATGCCAATATTGTAGATCTCAAGGAGATAGTGGCAGGCGACGAACCACAGGAATGCATACTAGTCATGGAGTTTCTAGAACACGATTTAAAAACACTACAGGAAGACATGTCGGAACCTTTTCTAGCATCAGAGGTGAAGACACTATTGAGACAGTTGACAGGTGCAATCGAATTCCTACACGAAAACTACATTCTCCATCGCGATCTCAAAACCTCAAACATCCTTCTCAACAACCGAGGTCATCTCAAACTCGCAGACTTCGGCATGGCACGTTACATTCCCCCTCCTAGCCACTCAGCTTCCCATCTAACTCAACTCGTCGTCACACTCTGGTACCGCGCGCCAGAACTCCTCCTCGGAACTGAGACATATAGCACTGAAATCGACATGTGGAGTCTAGGCTGTATATTCGGCGAATTACTCCTCAAAGAGCCTTTATTCCCGGGAAAAAATGAAGTCGATCAACTCTCACTCATCTTCTACCTCGCCGGTCTGCCGTCTGAAAAGACCTGGCCGGGATTCTATCGACTCCCCAACGCGCGCTCGCTCAAAATACCCCGTGAACACCAGCATCTGAATGCGAATTCAGGCTTTAACCGTGCCAAGTTCCCCTTTTTAACAGCATCGGGTATCGAATTACTCTCGTCCTTATTGTCGCTTAATCCAGAGGCAAGGCCTAATGCAAAGGAGGTTCTGGCCCATCCATATTTCAAGGAACAGCCTAAACCTAAACCAGAGGAAATGTTTCCGACATTTCCAAGTAAAGCTGGGCAGGAGAAGCGGCGGAAGAGGAGTCCCAATGCGCCGAAGAGGGGGGAGAAGGGGGGTACAGTGGCGAATGTGGATTTCAGTGGGATCTTTGGGGCAAGGGGGGAGGAGAGGGGTGCGGGCTTTATGTTGAAGATGGCTTGACAAACTGTTTGTGAAATCAAGGAATCTTACTGGCCGAGTGGAGTTCGAGAGAAGTGCTGTGGTGAGGTAGAGAGTGCGATTGCTGGTACGATCATATAAGGGCTGTAGAACACCCCAGATACGGCGTAAGGACCTACTTGTGCAATACATTCTACAATGATCAAATGGCATATCGATCACATGACCTATATAGACTTGACATGTCAGAATAGTTTTCTTCGCGAATTTCGTTCACATGCCGCTGTGACAATCAAATCCTGCCGTAGGAGATGCGGATCCAGGCAATGGTTATTGCCACTGAATGAAGTCTTCCATTACGTTATAGACAAGCCTATCATCTCCAATCTCTGCTCCTACTACGGTCGCGAGGACTGGCACTGCCATAGGAACTGTAGCTAGGGCTTCTTCTCCCTCCTCCTCCACCACCACCACCACCGCTCCTCCCACCCCTGGGAGGTGGCGAATCCCATCTCCCGTAGCCTCCCCTCCCCCCTCGGCCACCCCCATGACGTCTCGGCGGTGTTCGCGACACTGATCGACTGAAGGATGAACGAGATCTACTCCGACGCGGAGACCGACTTCGTGATCTAGAATACGACCGTGGTCGTACAAATCCACCTCCACGGCCGCCTTGTCCACCCCTGCCTCGTCCCCAGTGCCCCCCTCCACGCTCGGGCGACCATCTTCGCGGTGGGGAGCGGTACCGTCCGGGAGCATCCATGGGAGGCGGTCTGTATGCACCGGGTGGTCCCCCTGGGCCACTACGCCCGCCACGTCCGCCTCCATGACCATCGTAATCATCATGGAACCTCTCGCGTGGCGGTGGACCTCTGCGCGCTGGCGGTGGTGGTCGCGAAAAGCGGCGGGGAGGGAGTACAATGGAGACTTGAATTCTTGCACCATCAAGTTGTGCATCGTGCATTTTTGCAATTGCGCGCTCTGCATCATCAATCTCCTCGTAGAGAATGTATGCAATGCCACGGTTGATGTTAACTTGTTCCATCAGCTTTGTTAAGACAGAGATGGAGGCAATGCTACGCACAGGTAGGGTTCATAGGCATCTTTAGATCTTTGATAATGCCGTATTTACCGAATATCTCACGGACGTGATCTTCCTTGACGTTTCGGGTCAATGCCTCGACGACGATCTGCGCCGTGTTAGCCATTGTAGGAGGATCATGTTCGAGTCGCTGCAATCTGCTTGAAAGGCCAGCTGGCATCCTACCTTTGCACTTCTAGGCGCTGGCGATGCATCTCGCGGTGTCAGACTGCGTGTATAACCTCTTCCTCTTGACCGCGATCGCGATCTGCTGTCTGGGGTATAGCTGCGTCGGCCATTGCGCCTCGGCGAGGGAGACCTGGGCGAGCGTGATGGCGTGAGAGAGCGCGAGCGAGAAGGCGACCTTGGTGTCAGTGACCGCCTTGGGGTTTCCGACTGTGCTGAACGAGGTCTGTTTGGTGATGTTGTGGGTGAAAGACCGCGCATAGGGCTACGCGTGTGCGACGGCGCTGGCGATGGTGAGAGAGATGGCATGGTATGCTGTGAGAGGGCGCGGACAATACAGAATGATGGTGTTGGATGGATAGAACAAGCGCCGGGGAGTTTGGTGCGTAGCTTAGGCGCGAACACTCGAAGCGGACGCGTTCCTCGAAGTTTTTTGGTTGGCTTCAGGAGCTACAAAGCTACTGAGAGGCTACTGAGAGCAGTGAGACGGTACGAGGGTGAGACGCTAGGGCCCAACTAAGTTAGAGTGTAGTCAACCCGGAGGCTTCTCAAGCTGCAAGCAGCCAGCCGCCATCTTCCATCTTGAATTCACATTTGACACTGAAGACATCATGAAAGAACAACAATGGGATGATGCATGCATGGGCGTCGTCTTTTTGCCTCACCAGAGGTTCATGCACCAAGTCGGAAGTCTGTTGTGAGGAAGGTGGTTTTGTTTTGCTTGGCGATGTGTTATGTAGTATGTATAAAGAGAGGGGCTGATCTACCCTAGGTAGAAGAAGCGCTACGCTCACCGACAAAAGTAACACAAGGACAGCTGCACAATGGCGCAATAAAAGCTACCGACTGTTGACTTGATGAAGCCCATAATTGTTCCCTCAGTTTATGTACTATGCAATGAATGATTTGATGCAAAACACCAGCCCTCCCCTCCGACACACACACCAACACATGCATACAAACAGACGCCCTCTCATACATACCACACACGGCCTCTTTTTGTTCTTGTTGGATCTAGAAGAAGAAGAAGAAGAAGAAGAAGAAGAAGAAGATAGAGAAGTGTGCAGCTTCAAGGCAGCGACATGTGTAGAATACATATACGGTGAATGTACACCATACCCGCACGTACCTTCATAATAATTGCCTTGGGGCCTCAGGCCAAACACTGCCACTGCGGGGTCAATCCTCTCACGGTAAAAACAATTGCCCCACTACTCGCTCGCACCATCAACGGGTTAACCCGACCGCCGCCACGAACCCTCCCCCCCCCCGACCCAACAGCTTCTTACTCAAACCTGCACAACACTTCCTCTTCTTCTTCTCCCTCTTCTTTTCTCACCGACAAATCCCCTTCTTGCTTAGTCAACCAGAAAGTACCTGCAGCCGTCGCCTTTCTTCTGCCGCTGAGCCGCACCTCTCTCTTTGCTCGCCTCTCTTGCATATATCCTAGCAGCTTCCAAGACTCGCACACATCACCCCTCACACACATCATGTCCTGGCAAGGTAGGTGGCAGGCGTCTAATCTTCGGTAGTGGCTGCTAACACATATGGATAGCATACGTCGACCAAAGGTATAATCACACTCTACTCGTCAGCAGCAAGCACGGCATTCTCTCTAACTCACGCGCTACAGCCTCGTTGGCACAGGCAACATCGACAAGGCCCTCATCTGCGATGTCAACGGCCAGACTACCTGGGCCTCGTCCCCAGACTTCTCCGTACGTGACTGGCATCATTCTCGCCCCATCACCCTCCACCCCTTATCCAAGGCATAATCGCGACACGGCCTATGGTGGGGCCGCGTACCCCAGAGAAGAAAGGCTCTGACAAAAGCATAGTTGACCGCTGCTGAAATGGGTGCCATTGCCGCCTCTTTCAACGACAAGAGCGAGACCAAGGCCGTTATTGCAAATGGTGTCAAGGTCAACGGTGACAAGTACATGACTATCGAGTCGACCGATGATTCACTCAAGGCAAAGAAGGTATGGCACCCCCTTTCTCTTCAACTCCAGCCTTCGCCCCATAGGTCCTCTGTTTTCAGACGAACAAGCGTTGAGATTGACATTTGTTACCAGGGCAAAGAAGGCATCGTTGCTGTCAAAACCACCCAAGCCCTCCTCATCGCCCATCACCCCGACTCTGTTCAAACACCCAACGCCTTCAACTCGGTCGTCGAGCTGGCGGAGTACCTCAAGAAGGTCGGCTACTAGAGCCCTTCGCGTTCAGACACTCTTTTTTTCAGGTTACTTATGAATATTTGCATAGCTTCATAGCTGGCGGTGGTTTCGTGGATAGGCTAGGTGGTCGAGATAGAAATGATGTGATGAAGCATGGTATCGCTATGGGAAGACATCTCCTCCGTAGGTTGATACAAAGGATAACGTGACGAGTTTTCACATGATCTCGCCAAATTTACTACCGGAAAAATGGCTCTTACAGACCCGTCAACAGTGCAGCCATGAACCTCAATGTCTTGACTGCCCTCTACCGAAAGGCCCTCGACCGATGGCCTTCCGCGTCTCCTCTGTATGCTATTCAATAAACGGAAGATTCGCCAGTTCATCAATTAGCAACAGCTCTTTGATTCTCATACATTGAAGATGATGTCTGCCTTCGGACAAGTGACTCATTCCGAAGTGAGATATTGCTATCACTTACGACACGCAGGCTGTCTTTGATATCTTTATCGCATTGCCTCGAGCCCCTTTCTGCTGTGGGATTCGCAGCATAGCTGGGGCAGCGCTAGATAGTTTCTCCAGGTGTCTTGCAATACGGGGGAAGTGTAAGACAGCCTTGGAAGGCAGAGTAGGTATGCCGCGAGGATGAGAGGATGCCGCATCCCGCACGGCCGGGCAGGTGCAAGGCCACGCCAGACCCAGACGACGCATAGCGCCATCATCCTGCCCGGTGCCAGGCTTCCCCTTCGGAACCAAACACAAGAGTACAAATCCATTACGACGTCCTCCCACCCCCCTTTTGCCAATGGTCCTCGAGATATTTAATCCATGGTACCGTCCAAAAGATGACTTCGAACCCCTGTCTTTTGCCTCGCTGTTCCTCCACGCTCCTGTGAAGCTCCTCCTATATCATGCATACTACCTCATGACCTTTCTCCGCTCTACGCCTCAGCCTGCGCAACCGTCGATTCGGGTCGTGTGTATTTCGGATACGCATAACAATATCCTCGATGATGTTCCTCTGGGCGACCTCCTCATCCACGCCGGAGACTTGACGAATGGAGGGAGTGTCGCAGAGTTACAGAAACAGATTGACTGGTTAGACTCGCTGCCGCACAAACAAATCGTGGTGATTGGCGGGAACCATGATACCTATCTGGATACTCGTACAAGGCCCTCCTTGAGTGCAGTGCAGAAGAGAAGGAATCTTGACTGGAAGCGCATACACTACTTGCAACACCGGAGACTCAGTCTGACGATTGATGTCAAGCCGCCGCACAGCAGTGAAGCAAGCGCAACGTCACCACTATTGGCAGAAGATCGAAGACGAAGACGGATACGGGTGTACGGCGCACCGCAGATTCCTGCGTGTGGCCCCATGGATGTTCACGCGTTTCAATACCCTCGAGGTCAGGACGCATGGTCAGGCACGGTCCCTGAAGATATAGACATTCTAGTTACACATACTCCACCAAAGCACCATCTGGATCTTTCTTTGTCACAGGGTCTGGGCTGCGAACATCTTCTAGGTGAGGTGACAAGAATTAAACCTACGCTCCACGTCTTTGGTCATGTGCATTGGGGGGCTGGAAAAACTGTAGTCTGGTGGGACAAAGCGCACGATGCCTATGTGCGAGGGTTGTCAATCAAGTCCAAATGGACAAATGGTATTTTCAACCTGCGCCTATGGTGGAACGTAGCTAGAGTGCTATACCGCGGCACGCGAGAGCTCCTATGGGATCGTGTGTGGGGTGGGCAAAGCGCCAATACCATCATGGTGAATGCAGCCCAGACGCATGGAAATACGGGAAAATTAGGCAATCCTGTCCAAGTTGTCGACATATAAGATCGTCACAGTCGAGGAGTAATCGTAATGTATAATACAGTCTTGATCAGCACAGCAGGAAGCACTTCATTGTCGGAAAGCCTTTTCGAGCTAAAAAGGATTCTGTTGCTTTACCTTGACTACCTCGCTAGAGAAGCCAAGTTCAACATGGAGACCAGGCGATTCGCCGTTCCCCGCGACTTTATTTGATTGTGGTCATGAAACCATAAATCGTGCATACCATGCCATGCCATGTTCCACCACTGAACCAACAGCCCTTGCACACGCTCAAAGACGACGACCACGGCGACCGCCCTTCCTCCTGGTGGAGTCGGATGGGGTAGGGGTAACATCCTCGATACGTCCAATGCGCATACCAGCACGGGCAAGAGCGCGGAGAGCGGACTGGGCACCGGGGCCGGGGGTCTTGGTGCCGTTACCACCAGTGGCCCTGATCTTGACGTGAAGAGCAGAGATCCCGAGCTCCTTGCAACGGGCGGCTAATGGTCAATTAGTACTGTAATTGGACGCTATTTCCAGTCAAGTATACGTACCAACATCCTGAGCCGCCAACATGGCAGCGTATGGCGAAGACTCGTCACGGTCAGCCTTGACCTTCATGCCACCGGTAACACGGGAGATGGTCTCGCGACCAGACAGATCGGTGATGTGGACGAAGGTGTCATTGAAGGAAGCAAAAATGCGGGCTACACCGAAAACAAGTTCGCCCTAAATATTGTCAATTCGCGCTCGGGGGAGTGGGGGCCATGCAGAGGAGGACAAACCTCGCGGACCTGAGGTCCAAGCTGCAATTCGTTAGCTGCTGTCGAGTGTACGTGCAAGATGGGCAATATCTGACCTGGATGTTCTCCGTGGTGGAACGCTCGACCTTCTTCTTGGGAGGCATGTTGACTGTAGTTTGTTGCTTGACTGACGGTTTCGTGGTGTTGTCGACGATCGATGAAGTCGAACTTTTGGTGGGCGGTTTTCGCTTGCGTGCGCGGCAAAAATATCGGGCCGGGCACTAGCGTGCCGCGTCCTACTTTTTCTTTGCCAGGCGCAACTCCTCTTCCCCATCTCTCATTACCTTGACATGGGCTGAACACCAACATTGACCACGCAGATTCGCGTCCAATACCACCATCATGGAATCTGGTAAGAGCATTGGTATCATTGGCATGGGCGACATGGGCAAGATGTATGCTCGGCGCCTGAGCAGTGCAGGATGGAAGTGAGTGCTTTGCGCTTGTGGCAGCTCTAAGCTACCTGAGCTTTCGTCATTCGTAAGTCAGACGCCTCTCTCTTATCCCCATCCCTTCCAATGATGACCGTGAGTGCATTTGGCTCGAGTATGGCGCATGTCTGCACTGTTACCGTCTTGGTTTGCAGTATCCAGGCATGTTGCTGTCAATGATGTGAATTCTCGCTACCTTAATTTATACAACTCTGATCCGCAACAAACCTTCGCATCACTATGGCAGTCCTTTTTGGAACCTTGCTGACCAGTGACTCACAGACGTGCTCTTAACGTGTCTCATTTCGCTGACAGTTTGCTCTGCCAAGGGTACACGCCTGCGATCTACCTGACAAATTCGATGCATTAGTAGGAGAGTTTCGGGACTTTGTAGGATAGCACCTTTTATAGAATACTATGATTGTACACACGCTGAGACTGTACCAGCCCAAGGTTGAAATTATGCAGAATGGTCACTTCGTCTCCCGCTGCAGCGACTTCATTATTTACAGTGTTGAAGCAAAGAACATTGATGCTGTCGTGAAGGCTTTTGGACCATGTACGTGAGCCTTTGCTACTGACCATTCTTACGATTGACCACTCGCGTGCAGCTACCAAACTTGGTGCTATAGTTGGCGGTCAAACATCATGTAAAGCGCCGGAGATGGAGGCTTTTGAGCGTCACCTGCCCAAGGACGTTAGCATAGTCTCTGTTCACTCGCTCCATGGACCTGGCATCGACCCCAAGGGACAGCCCCTGGTACTCATCAAGTATCGCTCCTCAGACTCTGACTTCGGGTTCGTGGAGGACGTCATGTCCTGTCTCAAGTCGAAGCACGTCTACCTCACGGCAGAACAACACGATCGCATCACAGCAGATACACAGGCTGTCACCCATGCTGCTTTCCTTAGCATGGGGGGAGCTTGGTTCGCCAACAATCAATTTCCGTGGGAAACATCTCGCTACGTCGGTGGCATCGAAAACGTCAAGATGAACATCACTTTGCGTATTTACTCGAACAAGTGGCATGTCTACGCTGGGCTCGCAATTTTGAATCCCGATGCAAAGAAGCAGATTAAGCAGTACGCCGAGTCTGTCACTGAACTTTTCAAGCTTATGCTAGCTGGACAGCGTGACGAGCTACGGGAGCGAGTGCACACTGCGCGAAAGGCAGTCTTTGGAGACAATAACGACGGTAAGAAGCTGCTCCTTCGAGATGACTTGCTCGATCAATTCGCCCTAGGCACGATACCAGAGAAGAGGTTGAAGAACAACCACTTGAGCTTACTTGCCATGGCCGATTGCTGGTGGAAGCTTGGTATAGTGCCATACGATCATATGATCTGCTCGACGCCGGTAAAGCTATATTCTTGGCCTCTTGCGTATTATTAGTTTTGCTAACGTAGCCGAAGCCGTCGCGCGTCTGGCTAGGTATCACGGAGTACCTCTTCTGTAACCCCACTCTCCTCGAGGAAGCCATCGACGCGGCGATCGATGACAACACTTTTCGTGCCGATGATCTAGAATTCACCTTTGCAGCCAGGGACTGGAGCTCGCGTGTCAGTCTGGGTAACTTTGATGGTTATCGCGAGAAGTTTGAGAAGATTCAGGAGTACTTTAAGCCACGATTTCCAGAGGCGACCAAGTTGGGTAATGAGATGATCAAGGTGATTTTGCAAAAAACGCAGGATGCCTGAGGTGTGTGGCAAGCGGGCCGCGTACCTTGCTATATCAGTAGCGAAGAGATTTTTTTTAGATTAGCCAGATGAGGATAATTTGGGAGCATGAAGGCTTGTTTCTATCGTACTACGCATATGACGCTTGACACTACCTAATTCCATCCTTTCCTTCCCCGCTGCTCAGCGTGACTAAGCCTTTCATGACCGTCTGCCTATAGTACATGTTCAGCCATGAATCAATTTCGCCGACTCCAGCTGCCGAGGTACAGTCTGTGAGGTATTACCCTGTTTTAATGATGAATGCTTGGTGGGAAATCTCCCACTAGGAAAAACTTTGGCACGCTCGAGATGTTAGTTACGGCTTGGTCTCCTGGTGTACCTAAACCCTATCCAAGAAGGAAGAAGGCAAAACTTCCTCATCGTAAACGTGGGCAGGCTTGGGGAGGGGGGAGGCGGGGTTTACTACGGTGGGAATTTCCTATCAGTGTAGAATTCGGATGAACCCATTGCCAGTACCGATATTCGACAAGTTGAAATCGCAATCTCAACGGCCAACCGCTTGGAACCACCAACACTGAGGTGTTTGAGACCGCTCATTGGTTCAACTAACCCTAAACACAATCGTCGCAAGATATTTTTCAAGGCTTGGAATGTACCGGCACATGATATCGAATGCGAGACGCCGACCATGAGTGACATTGTTGCTGGCCATTGTGTCAAATTACCTACTCCTTCGCGATTGACGGGGCTCCAAATGATACCCGATCTGACCAGTGGGCGCAGTTCTTTGTTTGTTTCTTGGCCACAGTACTCGTTTTGATGACAGTGAGAAGACAGACTACTTTCTAGTTGTGCAAATGGCACGGTAATGGTACAGCTAGTCAGGTGGCAGTCTGCCTTGTTCGAGTCCTCTCTACCGTCTTGACATTATTTCTTAATTTTCCTAGGCATCTCTTTGTCACAATCAAAGTATCTCGCACGATTCCCTATAAAAGAACCGATTGGCCTTTATCGTGTCTGTCCCCGGCCGATGAGGATGATGAAATCCCTCTCTCATCACGCGCCCCCTTCTCCGCTCCCAAACTCCCTACTCTCCCCAATCTCACAAACGCCAAACCCTTGCTCCCCGCTCTTGACCCCCTTCCACCGACACGCCTCCTCCAACTCCCTCGGCGGCTCCAACACCTCTTCCTCGGTGAGTACCCAGGTGCCCCAATGCATGCCCAAGGCACGCCTACACTTCGTGTCCACAAAAATGTTGACCGCATCCTTGGGATTCGCATGCACATTGCTAAATAGCCAGCGGGGATCATAGGCGCCAATCGGAATCAGGCCTAGGTCAAAGGGACCCCGGTGTTTACCGATTTGCGCAAAGGCTGGACAGGTGGGAAGGTGGGAGTACTCTGGACCGTAGTCGTCGGCCGTAGCGGGGACGGACGAGGGCACAGTCCGGTAGCCGGTGTCGCCGGCAAAGTAGACGGACGAGGAGCCAGAGGTTACGGACCAGCTGGCCCAGAGGGTTTTGCACTTGTCAAAGGGCCCGCGGGCACTGACATGTTGACAAGGGAGGGCGTGGATGGTTGCTTTGATTGCGTTGTCTTCTGCGCTGCCCTTTTCAAAGGGATTTGCCACTGTTGTCGACTCTGCATTGCCCTTGTTCGATTTTTGGGTTTCGAGCGTGATTTCCCGACTCTCCCACCAGTCTAGTTCGGTCACGTTTGTGATGCCAGACTTCTCAAACCAGGATTTGTTGCCGAGGGGGGCGAAGTAGTGTGCATGTGGGAACTTCTTGTGCAGGCGTTGGATGGTTGGGTAGCTGAGGTGGTCGTAGTGGTTGTGGCTAATGACGACGGCGTCGACCATGGGGAGGTCTTCAATCTCACATGGTGGAGGTGTGTATCTTTTGAGACTCTTCATGTTGAAGGGCGCACAGCAGTCTTCAAACACGGGGTCGAAAAGGACGCGGAAACCTCCTGGGAACTCCACATAGTAGCATGCATGACCTAACCACGTCGCTCTCAGTTTTGGAGTTTCCCTAGTGGGATGGAAGGTTGGTGTCCGAACTGGTACAGTGGGTGGTGTGGTATCTGGTGTGTTTGCCTGACCCGTAATCTTGCGCCTACATACATGGTCAGCTTTCCAGTTTATGTCGACCATGCTGATTCCTCCTCACTGGGATCACATGTCCGAGTACAGTATACAAACGATCTCTTCGATTTCCTCTCCCCTCCTTCTGCTCCCCTCCTCCTTTGCCTAAAAAAAACAACAACGTAGAAATAGACTCACCAAAAAAGTCCCTTGACAACAAGCTCCCAAAACCCACTCTCGGTATAGCTATCCCACGGATTCGTAAACCCTTTACCACCTTTCAGATGATGTCTCTTCCCCTTTGCATCCTCAGGCTCCGTCCACCCTACTGCCTGCTCCGGATTCGACACAGCCGCATATAAGCCTGCAATCGTCGCCGTCGCCGCCCCAGCCCCGGCGCCCACCGAGCTCATTTTGACAGTTGCGCCTGTCGACGTTGCGAAACCTGCAGGCCTGCGGAAAAACGGCTTGGACAGGAAACCGCGATGCTGATCCTGACCGTAGCGGTATCGGTAGCTTTGAGTGAAATAGTAGCGGTAGGAAGAAGAGGGACGAGCAGAATAACCTCGACACATCGTGGCCAACACACCTCCTCCGTACCCTCGACCTATTATATCACAAAGCCCTCCTGAAAGAACCGTAGTAAGTAAGCAAAGTATAACAACCCAGCCGCAGACCACCCTTTCCCCCCCCCCCCCCCCGAAGCATCCGATTCCCAAATCAATTTTGATGCTTTTGGTTGGGTATTGGTGTA